TCCCTTCCTTTTTATCTACTTTCCAACTGCCAGACCATATCTCTAAGAGTCCCTTGTTATGAATGAGCATTTGCAAGGGCAAAACTGGGTGATTGTCAGCCTACTGTGTATTTGAGCGTGCGTGGGGTTCATGGCACAGATCCCTTTTTGGGTTATGCCTTAGCTTCGAGGCTGGGAAAATCACACAATGAGTGAAACGAGGAGATGGCCGCTCTCTCCCATTTCATTAACATTCCCTGGGAGATATCAGTGAATATTGACATTAGAATATAAAACGTTGTTATCTTAAAAGTTGACACCAGACTTTTTCCGCAGGGATGGAATGGTCTTTAAAAAGCGTGTGGTCCCCAAAAGCCTGACTGGTGGAGGAGCCCAAACAGCAAAATAAAAAAGCTTGCTGAGCTGCTTTGCATGAGAGAAGAAAGAGAATTTGCTGGCAGAGAGGACGGGAGAGACATTTGGAGAACAGAGAACAGAAGGGGAGAGGGAAGCGGCAATAAGGTAGGGAGAGAAGGATTAGGTGTAGGGAGCACTCAGCACAATTTTAAGAGTAAAATACACTCTCCTATGTTTTGTATTTATTGATTTATGATTATTCCGTAAACCAGTGGTTCTCTAAGTGAGGCCCCTACCAACAGCATCGGCATCTCTGGGAGCTGGTTAGAAATGCACATCCCCAGGCCCCACCCCAGACCTGCTCACCCTCCAGGTGCTGCTCAGGGGTCTGTTTCAACAAGCCCTCCAGGTGACTGCGATGTGCTCCAAGTCTCAGGCCCAGACTAAATCTTCCCTCCCCGCACCCTCCACATCAAATCGCAATTAATTTCTCGACATCACAGATGTTTTGTGGAACGTTTTTGTTGGTTTTAAGGCAACACTGGTGTCCACGCTGGGAGAAATGGGATCCCTAGAAGCAGAGATGGCCATAAGGACAGAAATCCCTGAGGAATTTTACAGGCCAAGGAACTAGGGGAGATTGTGGTAGTTGCCCTGTGTCCTGGGGAGCAGGGAAGATCCATCTGCCATGTTTCAGTCATAAGCCCACTTCCCACTACAAACTCTCACGTCTTCTCTCTCAAGCCTCTAACACCCCCCTTCCTTCTCCTTCCCCACAGATGACTCCACTTTACACCCCACCGAGAAAAAGAATCACATAGCAGCGACAAGCTCATCTCCCGGCTTCCTCCTTGGCTGAGTGGGTTCTGGAAACCCGCGCTTTTGCCCATCTCTTGCTTTTCCCTGTCACAGTGGAGGGTAGAGAGCTCCATCTGCCAAGCCCTGCATGTATCTGCTGCCTGGATCCCACCCACTCAAGGGCTATACTCCGGAGGTCAGTGCTTCTCAACCTTGGCTCCAAGCATCGCCTGCAGAGCTTTGTGGGAACCTAAAGCCCATGCTGCACTGCAGGCTGTCTCAGACTGTCTGGGTGGGAGGCAGGCATCCGTAGTTTTCAAAGCTCCCCAGGTCATTCCAATGTGCAGCCAAGCATCTGAACCACTACCCTCTCTCTGGGCGGCAAGACTTTTCCCCTGGTTTGCTCCATCACTGTAAAATTATGCCCACACTCGGCTGTTCTTGAAAAATTCTCCTTTGGTGTTCATATCACCATCTCAGTTTCACAGAGAGGCCTCCTGAGGGAAATGCCGTCTCTGCTTCCTCACCTCGCATTACACTGCAGCCCATCCCACCTCTCTGGCTTCTTTCACAGCAAAACAACCTTTTTAAGTTCCCTAATTTCTTCTATTTCCCAAACATATGGCCACGGTCTTTCCTTATCATTCAACTCATCAGCAGCATCCAAAGAGCTGATCGCTGCCTTCTTGAGTCAACCGATAGATCTGGCTCTGCGATGACATGCTCTTCTGATCTCCTTCAGCTCTGAAAACAGCAACCCAGTTGGCTAAACCAGATTCATAGAGTAATTCTTAAATTTTATATATA